GAATATGTGAGTAGAAGAATTACGTCAATTACTTGCAAGTACATCTTTCAAGTAATACTTGATTATTATATGATGTATCGTTTCTTATAGGTCGCAGTCCAGTTTATTCTTATTTGTCTTCAACTTACGCTGGATTGGATACGATCCGTTCACGTGAAGCAACGACCCGAGTTTCTTCGGAATTTGATGGTCTTTTAGATGTGCATTCCGCGCAATGGCATCATCTAGTTGTGGCTGCACAGACCCTAGGATTCTGGTTGGAAATGGCCAGCGTGGTCTTTTCGACTATTGTTTGTTTCAGTTTTGTTTTGATGGAAGATTGGAGTAAGTTGTAAATGATATTTGAACCACCATTTGTCTTCGAAAGACAACAAAAATTGTGATAGAATTTTGTTCTGCTCGATTTGTTGATGCAAATTGGCTTATTTAAAATGTTTAAAAATAAGTGAAAAAATAGTAATATTATTTTTATAGTTGGCTTAACATTTGCGGGCCAAGTCGGATTGGCCGTAACGCAAGCAATGGCTCTTACCTCAGTACTTCAATACGGTGTTCGGATGTTAACTGACGTTATAAACGATATGTTAAGCGTAGAAAGAGTTTTGGAATATACAGATTTAGAACAAGAACCAAAGCCTGGTATTTTATATTTTATTTATTTACTATAATAATATTGAAATTTGTATAAATAATGAATCTTTAATATTTTAAATGAACAGGTAAATTGCCTCCGGATACTTGGCCTCCTAATGGAAGAATAGAATTTCGTGATATGTCTCTGAAGTATATAAAAAATTCCAAGCCAGTGTTGAGAGATTTAACTTTAGTAGTAGAATCAGGATGGAAGGTATATAGATCTGAATTATTATAATAAGTTAAAGTAATGAGTGGTATATTTGTGCTCAAAGATTTTTATTTATTTATTAATTAGTATATATTTTAGTTTATTTAATTAATATAAACTCTAAAATAAATCTATTTCCTTTACTTAGATCGGTGTAGTAGGACGAACTGGTGCAGGAAAATCATCTCTGATCGCTGCTCTTTTCCGACTTGCGCCGTTAGAAGGCTCAATTATTATCGATGGTTTGGAAACTGGACGAATAAATCTAGATGCTCTACGTTCAAAACTATCCATAATACCCCAAGATCCAGTTCTATTTAATGGGACTTTAAGATATAATTTAGATCCATTTGGGAAATACGATGACAGCGAAATGTGGCATGCGTTAGACCTTGTAAATAAAAATTTATTCATCAAGTTTACAAGCATGGATGTAACCAGATTGTAATCGATTTTATAATTAACATATGCGTCATGTATTATTTTCTTTATTGCCTTTTAAAAGTCAATTTATTTACGATCCTTTGGTTACATTCCATGTGAACAAGAAAAATGTTATTTATATGTAATCTTGAATTATTTTTTCAGGTTGATATGAAAAATTCAGTGAATTCTTTGGATGTCTCAGTTTCCGAAGGAGGTAATAATTTTAGCGTCGGTCAAAAGCAATTAATATGCCTTGCAAGAGCCATTTTGAGACGTAACAAAATACTTATTCTTGACGAGGCTACTGCTAATGTAGATCCACAGTGAGTTGGTCATATAATGATAATTGTTTTATTAAACCTTCTTAATGATCATAGCGATAAATCTCATTATAATTATAATGTTATAATTCTAGTCTATAGACTCATGCCTTTGACAATTGATTCAGTCAATTAAATTAGGATCATTTAAAAATTATAAATAAATATAAATATAAAATAATATTTGAAATAACACAATAATAAGCATCATTAAGCCGGTATTGGCAGCTTATATATAATTGCCATAATTATTTCCACTACAAATCATATATGTTGTACTGAACTTTCAGATAGAAGTTTTATATTTAGTGTTTAACTAGATAAATACATAATTTAAAATCCTTTTTCCTTGCAGGACTGATGCTTTAATACAGAAATCTATACGCACACAATTTTCAAAGTGTACTGTACTGACAATTGCTCATCGCCTGCATACTGTAATGGACTCTGATCGTATCCTGGTTATGGATGCAGGAAGGCCCAGAGAATTTGGCACACCATATGATTTATTAATGTTGCCAGGAAGTATGTTGGCATCCCTTGTTTCTGAAACTGGACAAGCGGATAAACTGCTTGATATAGCAAAACAAGCATTTGTCAATTCTGGTTATGAAATTGCTCCAAATGGTTCTGCAATGAAGGAAACCAATGGCGAGATTGTACTGGAAGTAGAGTATAGGCCAAATGGTCATATGACTATATGCAATAAACCTTGTAATGGCTTTTCAAATGAAGCATTTGTAGAAGATATTGATACTAAATTGTGATATAGGTATAAATATAATAACAAAATATAAAATTATTATAGTTTTATTTATCAAAATCATTGTTCATTGTTATTTTAAAATTTTAAATTATTTAAAAATTTATTCGTTGTAAAATGTTGGTACTTAAGCCCAACAGCTCACTTGTGTCAACACAGTTCAGAGCAGTGAATTTCATACGACGAAGTTCATAGCGCATTTATGGCAACACTATCGGTATGACAAATGAACGGTATGTAAACAAATAAATCTGTTAAAAGTTACAATAGAGTTTTACACAAAATTCACACAAATGTTGACGAAGAATGAAAGATTTTTTTAATGTGCTTGTTTATGCAAAAATGCAATAATATAACGCGATATGGAAACTAAGGTGCGTAGATAGTACTTCATATATGGAATAAATATAATAATAATATAGACTCATAATAATAATTTGTAGCGATAATTCAAACTTTTGTATAATATGGACGAATTGAAAAAGGCTGAACTGCAAAAAAGACGCAAACAAAGGATATTACAGGTAAAATTTCTAATTAGAGAATGCATTTCTATTAGTTTATTTTGTAATGCTAGTAACAACTATTACTTGAAGGTACGGGAACAGTCAAAAGTTATTGCTTCAGAATTGCGTGACAAAGTCAATTCTGAAAAGAAACGAAAAGCAGAAGAATTTGCCAAAATAAAATGCAAGGAGTTGAGAGAATGGCAGGAACAACAATTAAGAGATATGAAAAACCAGTGCTCTAAAAATTATTGTGATCTTGGTAATGCTCATAAAGCAGCTGAAGCTGAAGTTGATCCACGAGAAGGTAATTGTCAATTTATACCACAAGAGACAATTGTTCCACTCTTATTATATCTTCATTTCTGTATTCACAAGTAAAAGACTTTGCTTAGAATATTTATGTTTGCAGTTTTGAAGGATAATAAAACAAAACGAGATAATATTGCTCAAGCAAGAGGAAAGGAAGCTATGAAAAATTTGAAAGAAGAAATAATACAAAAACATTGCAAACAGAAAACAAAACAGAAAACTTTCAGGTATTTATGATATCAATATTATGACTACTAATTTGTTTATTAATATCAAGTTTATTTATTACTTATTTTGTTATCCTTTTCAGATCTGTTCCTACCTCAAATGTACCCAAAATAAAAATCACACATATTATTAAAAAAGTTAAGAAATCTGCAATAAAAGATGACTGTGTTTGTTATGATGATCCAGAAGTTGAATTGGGCACAATAAATCTTGATAAAAATGCTTCTGATCCTGTTGAAAACTCATTGTTGAAAACAGATGATGATCACAATGGACATTATACAAATTCCATATCTAACAAAAATGGAGAAAAAGTTTCACATACTCCTTACTTATCTGAATTGAGACACAATGGTTGGTTTTGTCAATGTTGCAAAATGCAACGAGATGTTGGTATTCAATGTTTATGTCCTAAAACATCATATGAGGATGATGATAAAGAAACATCATCAGATGCAATCTCTCTTGATAAAGACGGTTCTGAAGCAAATAATTATTTCACACAAGTCAGTGATAGAATAAAATCTAGAAAAATCATTGATGTTCCAAGCTTAAAAGTAAAATCATCTGTATATAATCCTCAGAACTTTTCAGATAATGTTTTACACAGAAACGACTCTGATCTTTCAGATGATTTTTGTGATAAAATTAGACAACCAAATCCAAGACGACAAAATATAATTAGCAGTCCAAATAAAGGATGCAGAGAAAAAAGTCCTATTGCAAAAAAATAAATATAAGCCATGGAGATTCAAGTCCAATTAGAAATCAACATGATATAAATCCTCAAGTTAGAAAACATACAGATATTGGTTCACCTAAAAAGCAAAGGGGCGTAAATCCAGAATCTGAAGAATATAGAGCTATAAGTCCTTTAACTGCAATATCAGCAAAAATTCATGATGGCATAATATGTGCTAAAAATTGCTTGGAAGACATTGAACCACAGGTTTTGGAATTGCAGAAAAATGTACAAAGCCTAGAAAAATCTTTTTCAGAAAAGCCTGTGATACCAATTTCTCCAATAAAATCTGTTAAACACACCAATTCCAGAATCAGTTCAACCACAGCAGATTTGCCAAAAGTGAAATTATATGATTGCAGCACAAAATATGAAGCAACATATAGGCCATCTTCAAATCCGGTAGAGAAAGTTGATTCACACTTTTCAAATGCTCATGATGTTGCACAAAAGGAGAGTGAAAACTTTGATAAGGTGAGGCATGGTTTAGTATGTCAAGCAATAAAATAATTTATCTTATTCTAAGAAAATAATTGTTATTTAAGGAAAGAACAATACGGTCACTTTTCTGTTTCTTGGATTTAATATGACACTGATCATCAATCAATTCAGTGATTGTTCAATATTTGCTTTATTTGTTGCAATAATAGTCATGGTAAATAATATACTATTTAATACAACTGGTATAAAGCAATTTATTGGGCTTATAAGTTATAATAAAAATATTTTAAGAAGGTATGAAAATATTACATATGCAATTTTCAAGAAACACACCAATAGCAAGTGATTTGGGCAACTGATAATTTCTTAATTATTTTAAGGATTTTTTGTGTAATCTATGGTACGAAATCTTGCTTTACTAATCTATTGTACTTCTGGGCCAGTTTACTTCATCTTTCTGCCATGCACTGGACAAATTTTTCACTTGGGGATCAACAGTTTTTTGTTGAGGCAAATTAACTGATTTTGTCGGATGTTCTAGATCAGATTGTTTCTTTGCCATATTCTAAAAAGTAGTATAAAATTTTTTTGTTCAAAATATATTCATGTTCCAAAAATATTTCACTATTACTTGCAAAATAATTTCAAATCGTATACTACATATTACAGAGAATTACCTCACAAATTGATCTATTCGTGCAAGGGCAGTACACATAAGTCATATCTTTAGGATCAGGGTGGGCCTTAGGGGATGAGAAAGTTGTTGCTGCCTGGCACTTCTTTTTCTTACTGTATTGTTGACATCTGGCTTCAGCAGCTTTAACATGTCTTTGCCAAAATTCCATACGTGATGGATGCGGAGCACTAAGCTCTTTTGCTATTTCCCGAGTAATTCGCATAGGGAGTTGCCATGTGTTTAAATGATAGCCCCATGGATTGCACGCTGGTCGTTTTGCAACTAATAAATTGAATTTTGTTCAATAAATCGAAAATTAAAATTCTATTTCTGTGTTGTTTTCCATGAGAAACAATGTGCTCATTCATTCTAATATTAATGCAGAGATTAACACAGGACAATATCAGCAAGCAAATGTAAATTTCTACATAATAGTATTTTTAGTTAAATATTCATCTAAATAAATGATAAATTTTGTCAGTTATTATATACTTACAAGGCAGTTGATGTCCTCGATCATTTCCAATAATCCTTGTAGCTTTACATAATGTTGTCGGATGCTTTGGAAACCACTTAGGAGTTTGGTAATTGCCCAAATTATGCGGCTTAAAAGCCCCTTCGTACTGATTGGCACTGAAATTGTAAGACATTTATTTTATATGTATAATTAGAAGTTTTAAAAATATCTCAAACAAATTTGTAAAACAAATCTCTAATATATTACTGAGTTGAAACAAATGATAAAATACTATGAGATATCAAAGTAGGTTTGTTGATTAATTAATATAAACCACTTAATCAAATTATTGTTATCATAGGATTATTTGCTCTTGCATTAGTTAATTATAATTATAGTGAAAATTACATTTTTACGACAAGGATAAACAAAGAGTAGTTAGTTATCAAACTTTCAAATTTATAAAAAATGAAATGTTTTATTAATATTTATCATTATCAATTTTTTTATTAATATTTCCAGATTCCTTATGTGATGTATCATTCATTTATGTATAGTTTAAAACAAAAGAATATTTACTTATGCCGAACAAGAAGTTTCTAAGATGATAAATTAGAATACAATCTATCCAATAGTATATAGTCTGTATGTTTTGTGCCATTGTTTTTAATTCTCTGATATTTATTTCTAATTATAACCATTATAGGAAATCTCACAAAAGGCCCAGAAAAGAAGAGATGCTATGGCCAAATCAAAAATAAGAAGTCGTGAAGCTCTCAATCAAGCAAGAAATACGAAAATTTAGAAAATATTACAAATGTTTTGAAAATTACTATTAACAAATGTTTTGAATCATTGGCATTACTTGAAAGGGAAACTGATACTTGCCAGGTAATAATATTCAGGAAATTCATTTTTTAGTGTTTTAAGTTGTTTAGTTGTTTTAAGAAATCGAATCGGCTATTTTTTTGGCTTTCATTGAATGATCATAAATCTATCATTTATGGTAGTTTCTTTTTTAATGAATATTTATAAAACAATCTTTTATATATAGTTTATATAATCATTTTCTTGTACTTAAATCTTTACAAAATAGTTAATTTTGTAGTTTTAAACAATTCTTACTTTTAGAATCCAAGTTTATATAATCCTTTATCATATAAAGACATGAATAATCAAAGGCAAGAAAGGATTGATGAGGCTTTTAGTAATATGTTAGACAAAAGAGCAAGCTTCAAAAAATGTGATTACTTTAGATAGAATTCGATCAAATAAATCCGTCGGAAGAAAAACCCTGGAAATAATTTTACTAAGTCTTCCTCTTATTCGAAAGCTGATATAGAGAAAAACAATCTAGTCTCAATGTTGCAAATTCAGATAGAGATAGTATTTGCAACAAAAAGATTATTGATATTTGTTGTGGAGATGATAAAAGCTCTACTACAAGTAGTAGTATCATATTAGGAAATCTAGATCACAAAAATATAGAAAACCAAGACTTAAAGGAATTATTAGAGCGAGTAAAACGTCAGAAACAAATGCTTTTAGAAGAGGTCCCAAAAGAAATTTACCACAGGACAGTAAACTTAATGATGTTCTAATCGCAATGGAAAAAAGTTTATCAGATCCCTTGGAAGAATCGCATAAAAAAACCGAAATTTCAAGTAAATTGATGATGCTCAGAAAATCAAAAAACAAAAGAAAAAGCTTGCAAAAAAAGAGGAAGAATTAAAACTTAAAGAATTACAATTAGATCTGTTGATGCAAAAGTATAAACTAAATGAGTTAGAACAAAAACAGAATCTGGCAAACATGAACACAAAGTTCCACTACCAGAAAATATTCCAATAGAAAGTTCTTCTGTGATCCCAATTGCAGATACAAAACATGAAATTCAAGGCGAGGTGATCGACAAACAGTCTTCAGATGGATTGGAAATTGTAATCCACGTGAAAGATAAATCCAATAAGAAAATCGCGCCGTTTACAAAAAAATTTTCAGTTCAAACAAGAGGGCCAAGTGTTATTCAGAAACACAAAAAATCCAAAACAAGAGTAAATAAAAGTAAGATATATTCACCTATGAAGAATTCCTCCTATTCCTGTTCTAGTAGTTCTACTAGTTATTTGAGCCCTCCTGCTGAATTAACTAATGTTTCAAATTTTCAAAATATTTCTCAAGCTTTTGTGAATGACTATACTAGCGAACAATTTCAGAGACAAACTAACAAAGAAAATTTCATTTCTGCTAAATCACCAACAAAATCAATTACTTCATCTAGATTTGATAGAACAGCTAGAAAAAAAGAAAAACCTAAGATAAATCCATTATTGGCAAGTTACATAAACAGGTTACTATGTATGGATAGGAATAGCATAGATGCGCTGACTGTCAGCTCTTGTTCAGATGTGCCAACGCCAAGTGATTCCATAATTAATATTCCATCCAATACAGTTGATGATAAGTTTAAAATAAACTCATTTGAAAAATCTGATATTGATACAACTCCAGTGATTAATATTGAGAGTACTCCAAGTAATTTTAACACAAAACGAAAACATGTTGAGTTGCGCAAAAGTGTGCAGGCAGTGGAAGAAACGCCGAAACATCTAATAACTTTGCACAATAAAGGAATTCAAGTATCCACAATACATAACAGTTCTTGTGAAGAATCTCCTTCACCAAGCTTTTATAAATCAAACGAACAAAGTCCTGAAAGCTTAGATAAAAATGAAGGCATGCAAGATTTTACTGAAAATTGTAATAAACGAATAACTGATTTAACAAATCTTATTAATAAAGTTAGACTAGAAAAAATGAAGTTGCTGGAGTGCAGTATATCTTCTAGTGGCAGTTGTGGACAAAATTCAACTGAATATTTAGAGTTACCCAGCCAAATTCAACCTGCTGAAATTGTAGATCGAGATAATCGTGATGACATAAACAGAACTGCAGAGGGTTTGAAACATATCTCTCAAGAAACACCACCGCAGATGGAAATAACTGATGAATTAGTGACAGTGGAAACAATTAATTTTACTCCCATGTTACAAGATATTCCAAAACCATCTGCAATGCAAAATGTTATTGCTCATCAACCATTTGGAAATAATAATAAGAATATTGAACATGACTTGACTGATTTACGTCAAAATATGGTTGGTATTAATAGCCAGTTAGTCAATTTAGAGAATTATATGGAAAAAATTCATGAATATATTGGAGATGTTGTCAAACATAAGCCAAAACCTCCAGTATCATTGTTAAGGCAGATGAAGAACAATGTAAATATAGATACAGCACAAGCTCATGATTATCTGCTATAATGGAAGTTGACACTAAAGTTTCCGAACCGCTGTTGAAATAGAGGCTGTACAAGACTCAGTCCAAGATGTTGACATTGAACAAAATTCTAATTCTTTAAAAATGACTTTTCAAGGAAAATCTCAAACACAGATAGTGGTGATTCTGTACCTTTGGAAGCCAAATAAAAAATTTATTTGACAACACAGATATTAATATCACTTTAAAAAGTCCAAGTAAATTTCAAACACATCTGCAGATATTAACTTAGAAGTTAAGCCATTTCCAACCTTTGAAGAATATTATAAAAAATTAAACTCTAAAAAGGATGTATTGGTAAACGATGCTGAAATATCTAGTGAAAAAATGAAGAAACATTGCCGGATGTTATGTCAGAATTACTTAGGAGAAACATTTTACAAAGACCATTTGATAATGATACACAAAACTCAGATGTAACAACAACAGATCTGCAAGAAGCTTCACAATCACAAATAATTAGAACACCAGAAAATTCTAATGGCAGTGTAAGTTTTTTATTAAGTATAGTTCAATGGAAAATTCTACAAGTTCATCAACATCCCAAGAGTTTGAAAAAGCGTTACATAAGCTTGGTATGAACTGGGCTCTTAACACTTTAAAGAAAACACAAAAGTCGATAGCTCATAGTTCAAGTAGTTCCATTGAATATCCATCTTCAAAAACAAATTATTTGACAAATAAAATAATAGCATTGAAAAATCTTAACGAACAAACTTTAAAAAATTAGAAAATCACATAAACCATTAGCTTCTAACATCACTGTTGAATCAAGTGTAACTGAAAGTGATGGAAAAATTAAAAAAGTTTCACAGAATACAGAATGTTATTATAATTATGATGGAAAATCACAAAAGAAGACATCAAAGCTTTGGTTAAAAAAGCTCAAAATCTATCTCTTGATAAAGAATCACTTTTCAGAAGGCTTTAAGTACCAGTAGAGATTTAAGTAATAATACAGATAATTTAACACGAAATCCATCTTCTCAAACTAATCAAAGGACATCTACACCTGTTTTTAACGAAAAAAACTATCCAATAGCTCTAAAGCAAATTCTTTAAATGAACATTATTCAGTGAAGTAACATATCTTCTGTAAAAA